TATATTTTTTTCAAATAATCTCAATTTTATTTTTTTTACTTTAAAATCATGATTTTTATGAGAATCATTTATGAAAAATACCTATTTATAAATATGCTTTCTCTTTTATCTTCTTATTTTTTTTCTTCTAGAATTTGATTTGAGTTAGTCTAGAATTTTTAGTCAATAAATCAACAATATAATTATTTTTTAGAAATTTCTGTAACTTTAATATTTAAGATATGATTGCATTCTCGTAATTTATAAGTTATAATTTTTATTATCAAAGAATGAAATAATGATACATGAAAACTCTATTTTTCTTCCATTTTACAAGTCTATTAAGAATCAAAACTCTTGATACAATTGTTAGATTTGTTTAGAGTTTTAAATCTATTATGATATATGAAATATATAGGACATTCTTCATGTGTATAATTTTTTTATAACATTATGTATATAAAATAAAAATACAACCAAATATCAACTATTATGAAAGCTCAATTTTTTACTACCTAAATTAAAATAATAACAATAATAAAAATATCTTATCTTGAATTTAAATAAAAAGATAATTAAATATATATTCTAAAGAAGTATTTTCCAAATGATTTTGGCACATGTGAGCGTTATTAACAAGTTTGTCGTGCTAATATTTTTACCACGTATTTGACACAAGTATTATTTGGGTTGTTAAAATGAAGAGTTGTTAGTTTTATTAAGTCAAGGTTCAAAATGGAGTTGACATGGATTTACATTACATAATTAAGAACAATGATACATTAACAATATTCTTTTTTAAACATCCAATTTTTATTTGGCAAGCATGATATATTGGTTAATTTGGCTTGACTCCGTTTAAGTTTAATTCGACCTAATAGTATTTAACTCGATTTAATTTAACTTGATTTTCTAAATCTGATTTACCTTAATTTACTTACCCTAATTTGAGTTAGTGTAATTTGATGTGATTTGACTCTCCTTCACCTAAGTATGTATAACCTAATTTGATTCAAATGGGGAGAATGTCATATTTGAGGATAAAATTCAATATGAATTTGAAAGAAGTATTATATATATATATATATATATATATATATATATATATATATATATATATATATATATATATATATTTATTTATTTATTTATTTTGTTTATAGTGAAAATTTACAAATCACTTGTGAAATTTTTTTATTTAGATTAGTAAATACAAATTTTCAATTTAGATATTAATTTAATTCACCCAAAAATATAAGTTAACCTTTATAATGGATATTTTGCACATTAATTTAATAAAAGTATTTATAAATTTATTTTGATAATTCAAACATTACTTATATAATTAATGAAAATTCATTGAAATAACTAAAAGCAAAGGACTAAAATTAAAGGAAGAAACTAGTCGGAAATATAAATTGTTGGAAATCATGAATTATCAGAAAAAGTAATTCAAAACACAAATTACTTGAAATTGTGAACCACCAAGAATAAAAAAGAAATTGGTAAAAAAATCAATAAAACTAATAACCCAAATTTTCAAAGGTCCCATTAAAAAACTTTGTTCTTATTTATAGTATTTTCAAGAGTTCCATTAAAAAACTTTATTCTCATAGTATTTTTAATATTTTGAAATTGAAAATTTTTTAAGCATTATTTTAAATTATTTAAATAATTAATTACAAATCATATACAAAATTTAATTTCACCTGCTAATTTAAAAATATACATAATAAAAAAAAATAAAACTATACATTAAAATTACATTATTAAAAAATTTAAATTTATTAATGACTTACACTATAACATTAATATTGTTTAAAATTTTATTTTATATATTTGTGTTTTTTTATTTATACACGAAATTAAATGTACATCTAGTGAGATTAATTTTATTTAAAGTTATGCTAAATTACAATTTATTTGAATTTATATTTTAAAAATATGACTTTTTAATATTTTATGATAATTATATTTAATTTATACTTTAAAATAGATAAATTTAATTCATTTTATGTGAAATTTTAAAAGAATAAAATAAAAAAAATCATTAATATTATTAAAGATCATAATTATAAAAACCAAAATTTGTTTAATTGAATATGGAATCACCAAATGCGTAATAAGATTTTTTTTCTTTTTTAAATGATTAATCAAATCGGTGTGATTCAAGTGTTTGTAGTTTTAAGAGCGTGTTAAATATATACAAATTTGAGTAATAATAAGAAGTACTCTAAATAAATGCTATTTGATAATTTTATTTTTTATAATAATATTAAAACTAAACAAATATAATATTTTTTGGTATTTTTAGATTAAAAAAATTAGATTAGATGTAATTATTTAGATTAAACTTCATCATCTCAATTTTTTTTATTAAGCTCATTAAATAAATTTACTCTTTTATTGTAATAGAATGTTTATTATGAATAATTATACTTTCTGGAATAAACTTTAAGTATATTTTATCAAATCACAATCTCTTATCAATTTAATATATCTATTAGAATAAACTTACATTAAGTTATAATAATAATGATTTTTGTTTCTACGGTTTATTGATTATCTTAGATCAAGAATCAAACCACCAATCACAATTATAAATAAGAAGAAAGATAAAATAATCAAAGAGAAAAAGAAGAGAAATAAAAATTACATATAAATATAATCAAAATATATAATAGAGTTTGATTATTGTATTCAAAATAATATGAAAGCAAAACAAAACTATTAATCTAACCCTAAAAAAGGTTCTTGAATGGAGCATAGCTTTCTTTTTTATCTAAATGTCTCTTCTAACTCCAAAAACCCACCTCATATTCGAGATTGAGTTAACGAAAAAAAGAATACATAATTATAAGTGACTGAATTAGATCTTAAGTTTATTATTGGATGAGACTTGATAACATTTTTTTTTCATATTTTATGTCTTTAGAGCTTGTTGGATAAGATACAACTTTGATTGGACAAGACCTGTCACACTTTTTTAAAGTTCTTTATCTAATTTCGTGAAAGGACTGATGATTCATATTGATTGATAAATATTAATTTTGATTAAATAACTTTGCTCCTTCCATGTTTTCATGTTCAAATGTTCTCTAAAATTGTCTTTTTCACCTATTCCTATCAAAATAATTTTAAAATGTTATATATATATATATATATATATATATATATATATATATCAAAATGTATATGATTAATAAAATAAATGATTATTTTGTTTAATAAATAAATAAAGTGAACACTTATCAAATTCTTCTAAACTTAACTTACTATTTGTCTTCGTACAATAGTCATCTATAAGTATTTTAACGTAACATTGTAAGCAAATTCTAACTTCCATCATTAATACTAAACATAGCTTGGACTCACATAGTACATAATATAAATACACGTACAAAAATCCTAACTAAAGACATTAATAATTGGCAAGACACTAAACAACATAGTACAACCTATGATTAGAGATCAATCACAACTTTAAATCCTAATTGAACTTTGCATATTTCTATTCAACAAAACATTTCCATTAACAACAACTTACTAATGATAGTGGTTTTATACTTTCAAAGCATAACAAGGATGCAAGAATTTGTGATTTAATTAATTATTAAATTAGTTATTGGATATTATACCTCACAAAATAGGTGTTTATTTCACAAGTACAAAGGTAGATATATCTATCTTTTCACACTATAGGTCCATTAATTCAATTTTGATTTTTTTTATTTCTTAGAATTTTAAATATTCTTAACTTTCAATTATAAAATTTAGTTTTTTCTAGATATAAATATTATTGTCACTTTAAACATTATATTTATACAATAAAACTTCTTAAAATTAAGAAAAAAGTTAAAAATTAAAATTATATCATGATTTACTTAAAATTCGCTAATATGATAGATTCTTATTTTTAAATTACACTATTTACCTACAAAACCACTAACCACCTACCTAATATTCTAGAAAATAGTTTAACTAATGGAAATTATAATTTTATAATCGGTTCATTTCGTACTCCCATTTCAATAACTAATTTTAATATTATAATATTAATAATAATAATAATAATAATAATAATTTAATTTTTATATATTATTAAATTAAATTAGATTGTATATAAAATGTTTGATTGTGATAGAGTTGTAGACATATCCCTCCTTTTAACTAAGATAGCTGATATATGATACATGGATAACAATATTCAGTACAACTAAGTTTATTGTTATAATAATTATAATTTTTTTATAAAAATAAAATAATTAAAAATTATTATTATATTATTAACATGTTGAATAGATGTTTGTTAAAAAGTGATTAACAACCAATCTTTTTGTCTTAACTAATTAACAGACCCAAGTAACTAATTTAGACTTGAGTAGTTATTAGATGACATCTCTATTCCCAATATACACTTCCTTGTCATAATAAATTTATAAATTTAAAAACTTTATTAACATTATATTATTAGAGTGGAATGAAAATTAAATTTTCATGAAAAGGGGGTGTCAACTTATATTTTTCCTTTGAACTTAAGTTTTTATTAAGGAGAATGATAAGTTAATAGTGTCATCGAACAAATATTTATCCTACAACCAAATTTTAATAATATAATATTAATAAAATCTTTTAAATTTATATTATTATGAATTGTAAATTGAACGTATAAAAAACAGTGGGTGTTAATAAATAATTATTTTTTTTAATAAGTATTGATATTTTGAGATCACAAATTATATAATTTTGTTTAATAATATTATATTCATAAAGCAATTAATTTAAAATAAAATTAATTAAATATTATGATTTTATTAATAAATAAAATTATTGAATGGATATTTGTTAATAATTATTGGGAATTTATTTTTTCCTTTTCTTAACAGGAAGGAACTGATGCTTATGCATGGGAGCTTATTCTTATTCAGCAGCAACAAGTATGGGAAAGAAAAGGAAAGGGCTACTGTGGAGGGTTGAATTCTATGGTGTTGTTCACTCACCAACAGGAAGCATGTTATTGGTTAGGAGGGGCTCGGAAGAACGAATCCATCAAAAGTTTCGATGGTGTCACCGTTCCAAACTCGGTGCCAGTAAAAAGACTTCTCTTCGTACATCACCTTCTGTCTGTGAATGAAAAAATAACCACCATCTTCCGGCAGACGGAACCCCTTCGTCCGATGCAAATCGTCTAGCTTCTTCCTCAATACGTGCACCTTATCCGAATAAAACGCCTCTATCTCAATCTTCACATTCGTTTCCATCGGCACCACCTTCACCTTCAGCTTCCCAGGCTGCCCTTCGCTGTTACCTTCCACCGGCACCTTCGGCTTCCCAGCTGCGCTTTGCTGCTACCGCCCTTGCGCTTACCTGCCACCGGAAGAGCTGATTTCAAGAATACGTCGATCTCAGAATTCTCAACAACTACACAATCTTGAAGAGCCGCATTGTCCTTCAATTCCTCACTCATTGAATGCAACTGCAGCACGATCCTATCCACAGGTATGCCGTGCATGTCTTGGTGTTCAGCAATCTTCTCCTTCAGCTCCCTAACCGTGTCATTTCTGTCCAACTCTATACGGACACGATGCGCTGACTTAGGCATGTTAACGTTCAAAGTCAACTTCGTCTGCGGTGGAGACGGCAGTGGCTCCTGCTGCATCAGCTTCGTTGATGAATTCTCCTGTGACTGTTTTTGTTCCAAGACCGGCACAGGTTGCGATGAATTCTCCTGTGACCGTTGTTGCAGCACCGGGAACGATGGCATTGACGGAGAAATCACCGGTGATTGTTGTTGCAACACTGTACTCGGTTGCGTTGAGCATGAAATCTCCAGTGACTGTTGTTGCAGCACCGGCACCGATGACGTTGGCCATGAAATCTCCGCTGACCGATTTTGCAGCACCGGCAATGGTGTAGTTAACGATGAAATCTCCGGTGACTGTTGTTGTTGCAGCACTGGCATTGGTGGCGTTGGCCATGAAATATCTGGTAATTGTTCCGGTGACGTTGGCCATGAAATCTCTGGTGATTGTTGTTGCAACACCGGCACCGTTTGCCTTGACCGTGAAATCTCCGGTGACTGTTGTTGTTGCACCACTGGCATTGGTGGCGTTGGCCATGAAATATCTGGTAATTGTTCCGGTGACGTTGGCCATGAAATCTCTGGTGATTGTTGTTGCAACACCGGCACCGTTTGCCTTGACAGTGAAATCTCCGGTGACTGTTGTTGTTGCATCACCGGCATTGGTGGCGTTGGCCATGAAATCTCTGGTGATTGTTGTTGCAACACCGGCACCGTTTGCCTTGACAGTGAAATCTCCGGTGACTGTTGTTGCAGCACCGGCATTGGTGGCGTTGGCCATGAAATATCTGGTAATTGTTCCGGGGACGTTGGCCATGAAATCTCTGGTGATTGTTGTTGCAACACCGGCACCGTTTGCCTTGACAGTGAAATCTCCGGTGACTGTTGTTGCAGCACCGGCATTGGTGGCGTTGGCCATGAAATATCTGGTAATTGTTGTTGCAGCACCGGCAACGGTGGAGTTGACGATGAAATCTCGGGTGACTGTTGCAGCGCCGGCACCGCTGACGACGGCCATGAAATCTCTCGTGACTGTTGTTGCAGCATCGGCAATGGTGGAAGTGACGATGAAATCTCCGGTGCTTGTTGTTGCAACAACGGACTCGGTTGCGTTGACCATGAAATCCCCTGTGATTGTTGTTGCGGCGCCGGCAACGGTTGCGTTGAACATAAAATATCCTGTAATTGTTGTTGCAGCACCGGCAGCGGTAGCCTTAACGATGAAATGTCCTGTATTTGTGGTTGCCGAACCGGCACCCGTGGTGGATTATCGGCAACAACGAGAAGAATGTGAGAGAGGTGATGGACGGGAATTGTATAAACGTAAATATGGTCCGGGAGAAGTTCGCCATTGAAGACGAAGTGTTGTTTGAGAATGGGAATTCGATGAAATCTTTGGATCTTTTCTTTGATCTGACGGATGGGTTGGAATCTATCAACTCGAATGAAGAACCATTTCCCTCCAATCAACTCAAAAATTATGTCTATTTTAAAAGCAGATTCCATAGTTTCTAGAAACATTCAAATTTCTTGAAATTTCTTGAATCTTCTTGAAACCTCTATTGAACTTCTTTTCCGCCTATTATGTCTTCAAAGTTGGAACAATGGTCTCAAATTCTCCTATTTATTCTTTTTTTTTCTTTCTTTCTGATGTGTATATTTTTTTATCTTATTTTTTATTTATTAAATATTATATATAATTCCAGCCATTAATATATATATATATATATATATTAACAATGCAATTTTTAATTGAACTCTTATAATAATAAAGACAATTTATTATAATTATAAAAACATTATGTTTATTATTATAGTTTTAAAGTTAAGTATCATAATTATTTAGAAAAATTGACCCATGTAACCTAGAATATGATTAGCGTTTTTTAATATTATTTATTTTACAATTTTATTCGATTTTTTGTATTTTATTAATTTTTTGTAATTCATCTTGTTATTCCTATTTCTTATATATAAGACTGTTATTGTATAGAGAAAAAAATACAGAGAATTTTATGCATATTAATCTTGTTTGGGATGACAATGGATGTTACCTAAAACAAAATAAGATAGGATAAAGTTAATCCACGTAAGACTCGGTGCTATTTGGTGTGGTCTGACTCAGAGTTGGACCGCATACATGAAAAAATAAAAAACAACATTTGATGCATGCTAACACGTGAAGACAAGACTCCCCTGGGCCGGTCTTGGCCCATGTTTGTTCTACAGTGTCAGTGCTCTTATAGTTTCCGTGTTCTATGTTTCAAAAGCAACTTATTGAAGGAGATCTCTTTCTTTCTCCACCAATTATATATACTTCAGGTGAACTTTTTTCCACAAACAACAGATAAGATACATTGTGTCAACGAGGAAAGAATTTAGTTAGAGAAATTTCGTTGATGGAATCACTGATATTGTGCAATTCTTTGTTGGCCGTCGTCTTGTCTTCTTTTCTATTACGCTTAAAATATCCTGGTTCATTAGGGGGAGGTAAGTTGATTGAAGGGCTGTTGAGGTAAAACACAACTGTTGCCATTGTAGGTCTATCGTTTGGATCTTCCTGAACACACAACAAACCGATGTGGATAGATTTGATGACTTCTTCACGGGAATAAGGTCCTCCTATGTCAGGATCCAATAGTTCTAGGGGTGTTTCCTCTGTCCATTTTGTCCAAGCCTACGATCATCATGTGTCAATGAATCAAATCCTACTCTCAACCCCATTTTTTTTATCTTTTTTCCATTTACAGAATAGAAATGGAATAAATTTAGTACTCACATGTCTCCGGATGTCATCAATAGCCTCTGATTCAGAAGAACAGCCTTTCCTCTTCCCATTAACAATCTCTAGAACCATAACTCCGAAACTAAACACATCAGATTTCACAGAAAATTGTCCATACATGGCATATTCTGGAGACATGTAACCACTGTATATAAAACATGACAAAGATTGTTTTTTGAGCTTCAATGACAATGATTGATAGTTAAAACAGAACATAAAGTGAATGAAGTAGGAATGACATCTTACTATGTCCCCACAATTCTGCCCGTACTTTCTTCAATTTCATCTGCAGCAATAATTCTAGCCATACCAAAATCTGAAATTTTTGGATGCATATTACTATCTAGCAAAACATTACTGGGCTTGAGATCACGATGTATTATTTTTAGGCAAGAATCCTCATGTAGATATAGAATTCCTCGAGCAACTCCTGTTATGATTTTCTGACGTTCAGACCAAGATAGTAGGCTTCGCTTCTTGGTATCTAGAAATAAGTCAAATTATTTTGAATGGTCATTTATTCAGTTCAAATGAGAATAGATTGTACAAGTCATTCATCAGCTCTTGCTTCATGTCTAATATAGTTTAGAAGTATCGTACCCAATAAAAAATAATCAAGACTCTTGTTTGGCACGTACTCGTAAATGAGTATCTTTTCATCATCTTCTAAGCAAAATCCTAGTAACCTCACTAGATTTCTATGTTGAAGCTTGGCTATAACTTGAACCTCATTTTTAAACTCTACTGCACCTTGTCGAGAGCTGCCAATAAGCCTCTTCACAGCTATTTCTTGTCCATCTGAAAGAATACCCTGAAAAACATAGATAGATATAGTTAGTGTGGGAAATAAGTATACAAAATATTATCTTTTAATGTGGAACTAAGTACATGTTTACCCTATAGACCTCTCCAAATCCGCCTTTGCCTATCATGTTTTCTTTAGCAAATCTATTTGTTGCAGCTTCAATTTTGGCTAATTCAAATCGCAAGGACTCCAAAGTGGTACTGTCATTCCCAACTACAGCAAACAAATTTCAATTCTGAGTTATTTAGCTAAAGGAAATGCTTCTTGCGGTTGTGAAAAAAACGAGTGTATTTTTTTCCACATTACAGCTTTCTTTGAGAATATCACGTTGATTCTTTGTTTCTTTTCTACGTAGAAAACAGCCGCAGCCCAAAGATAAAAGCACCAGTGAAACAACAATTGGAACAACAATCACAATTGTGGTCACTGCCTTCTGTTTTCTTTTCCCTGCAAGAATACGAACACCTCATGTCATTTGTACTTCGCAGCAAGAAATATTATTTATCTCACGCAACTAAATAATATATTTATCATGATTGATGGGAGTTTTAGGTTCAAAAGCAATTGCTCTTGAATGATCAAGAGTAAGAAGAAAAGAGCTTAGCTGACAGTAAAATGCACAATGAGTGGCTGACAGAAAGTGTTTAGAATGAATCTATATTGTTGTCAAAGACCCCCCTAATTACCAGACAACTGATGCTTTCTCAACTTGACCTGACAGGATAAGTCTCAAGGTGTTGTAGAAGATATATCTTTTGCCACATTATAATTGGTTAATAGTAACAACTGATGAGTGGGAATAGAGTGATCGATCGATATAACTTACGATCTGACTAACCTATTGTTTTGCCAAAATCACTATCTATCTCATTTAGTGTATGAAGTAGTAACAAAATTGCGATAATTGGAATGATATTTAGACACCCGTTCGTTCTAAACACCTATGGTACCTGTCACATCATACTACTTAATATATTCAGAATTTTATCTATTTTCTCTACAAAACCAGAGATAATCATGGCTATCTAACCTGGTGAAGAAAAAGGGGGAGGACTGTTGGAAAGTGGTGGCGGAGACACCCAAACACTCCATTCATGTGCCATATGGAATGGATATAATTCGTATCTTACTCCACAACTAGGAAATATTATTGTTCCCCCAGATTTTCCTCTGCAGCAACCGGTTGGAATGTCAGCTATGGCATCGCTAAGACACCAGCTGCAGTTCTCTTTGGTCAGGTATGGTAGGCACCAAGCATAGCCATACGACTTTTGATTATCTGTGATGTTCAGACTTATCGGCCGATTTATTAGAAGAACTTGATGCCTCACCTCTCAAATCGTTCAGCATATCCCACACAATATTGTTGAAACGCCCAACCTGACCCACATAGTCCTGATCATTCATAAAGGAGACTTTAGGACTCTCCTCCACAGTGGAGAAGAAACGACGATCAGAGTAGCGCACGTAGCATACTTCGTACCATACCATAGCCTCTTTTGCAACGGTGCAAAGCAATGATATAAGTTTGGAAGCTTCTATCACGCATTGTTGGCAGAGTTTAGGGCTGCTGACTCTTGTACAAAGGAAGCTACCATATACGGTGTCGGCAGTGTGTTCGCTAGCAACTGTGGTGTTGTAGAATCCGGCATTGTTAGTGACATTGGAGGAGAGCCAATCTAGGAGTGTTTTGACATTAGAACGGTAAGCCGCACTATAGGAAGCAAAAGTGCTGTTCCTCGTGCAGTTATAGAAAGCTTTGGGACCTTCATGGGTAGCAGCTTGGATGATAGGAGAAGGAGAGCAACGGAGAAAGAGGGAAAAGAAAGTTAGGTGTAAAATGAAGATGTGAAAAGAAGCCATGTCTTTTTCACAAGGGGTACAAGGAACTCAGATAATATAACAAAGCCTGGCCACATGGGGTGGCAGATTCATCTGCTTTCTTTACAATCTTCAGTAGGAAAATGTTTCATTTAACTTTTTCTTTTTCTTTTCCTCATACCTTCTCTCCACCCAATCATTTTATATTGAACTACACCTTCAAAATCCCTCGTGACAAAATTATAGCAATTATAAAAGGTAAGCCACTACTTACTTCGTGCACAGCAATTATGGAGACAATCTTGGTTGATTTTGTTTAAGATTTCCTCATAAATTTATTCAGTATTTCAGATAGTTATGCTAAGTGAAAAAGCTCTTAATTGTTATTCAGAAACCAGGATACGAACAGGAAGGAGGGCAATTTTTGCAAGTTGATTGAGGAGGAGAGGATGATTTCAACGTAGCGGCAAGGAAATTTTTAGTGATGACTATTTACAATAACTCCAACAACACCTATCAGCGACGTATACTCCACACACATAATCACTTTGGTTGATGAATAAAGGTGAAGGATTGTGTTTTGGATTTATGTTATTCAAAATTCATGCAAATTCATTTTGTCAAGCTACATTACAATTGGCATTTCCCGCACTCGAAAAATGAGTGATTTGTAGAGCATGTTCTTTTGATAGTGGAGGACTATACATGCACATGCCTGCATTTGGTTCGTCACCATATTCTCCAAAAAATAATGTATACTTTCGTTTTCAACTTCAACAAGCATGTCATGTGTATTCAATTCATTTCCCACTTTCGTGACATTAAGTTGGGTTTGAGGATTGTCGTCACATCTGTTGGTCAAAGAAAGTGGGCAAGGGTGGCTGCAATTGGTCAAAGAAAGTGGGCAAGGGTGGCTGCCAAATTTTTTATGTAACCATGAGGTGCTCATGGGACATATTTTAATGTAATGCATAGTGCCAATTTTTTGCTATAAATTGGTCTTCTTCCTACAAGCAAGAGCATCCCCATCCCACACAAAATACTACTTCTCTTAGAGAAGAAAGAGTGGCACCAGTGAGAGGCAGAAAAACTAGAGAGTTTTAGTTTAGCTTCTGGGTGTAATTGGGTTGTGAGTTGTGAGTGTTTTGGGAGTGTTTTGTAAACACTTGTGTATTTTCTTTTCTCCTAGTAAGAGATCTGTAGTAGTCGGAGACGTAGGCATTATTGGCCGAACTCCGTTATCAACTTATGTGTGCAATTATTCCGCTTTTATTTCACTTTCACGAGATCCGACCATATGGGAAGATTCCGCATATTTTTCCCAACAAGCTGGTATCGAGTCTGGTTGTTAGTTTTGTAATTTTTGTGGTGTTACTATTCATATGAATAGTAAGTTACTATTCAGTGAATAGTGAAAACGTGAATAGTGCAAATTTTGTCGGCGTTACAAATTTGCCCGTGATCGTGTTCGAAACACGGTAGCTCACGAAATTGTCGAAACGATCCAGACAAATAAGTCGGATCGAGTTGGAGTGATGGTCTGCAGACGAAGGAAAAATGAAAATCGAAAGGTTCGACGGTACGGACTTTGGCTTCGGAAGATGCGAGATAGAGGATTATCTCGTATCGGAAGAAGATGCATCAACCACTCACGGGGAGAAGCCGGAAACCATGAAAGAGGAAGAATGGAGACTCCTTGATAGACGAGGCTCTTGGAGTTATTCGTCTAACATTATCCCGTAATGTTGCTTTCAACATTGTGAAAGAAAAGACGACCTCGAGATCTCATGAAGGCTCTTTCCAACATGTACGAGAAACCATCGGCCTCAAACAAAGTTCACTTGATGAGGCGATTGTTCAACCTGCGGATGTCCGAAGGTGCTTCGGTGGCAAATCATCTCAATGAACTCAACACTCGTAACAACCCGGTTGAGTTCTATTGATATCAAATTCGATGATGAAGTACGAGGCTTTAATACTTTTGTCTTCTCTACCGGAGAGTTGGAATGCTACGGTCACAGTTGTGAGTAGCTCATCGGGAAACAATAAGTTAAGATTTAATGATGTTCAAAATTTGGTTCTCGGCGAAGAGATCCGGCGGAGAGAGTCGGGTGAAGCATCAACCTCTTCGATGTGCATACAGAGTCAAGAGGAAGAAGTTCAACCAAAGAAATTGGACATGGAAAATCAAAGGACGAGGCGGTCCAAGTCCGGAAATCATCGTAGTTCCCACAACTCAAAAACGATCGAGTGTTGGAATTGTGGGAAGACTGGACACTTCGGAAACCGGTGCAAGAGTGCACGGAAGAATCAAGGAGCAAAGGACGAAGCAAACGTTGCCTCCACCTCGGGAAAAGATGAGGCGTTGATATGCTCTCTTGAAGGCGGGGAGGAGTCTTGGGTGTTAGACTCAGGAGCTTCTTTTCATGCTACCTCACGAAGGAAGCTGTTGGAGAATTATGTTCCGGAAATCTTGGTAAGGTTTACCTTGGTAATGAACAGTCATGTGAGATTGTAGGCAAAGGTGCGGTAAGGATTAAGGCTGAATGGGTCCGTATGGGAATTGAAAAATGTCGGACATATTCCCGACCTGACAAAGAGCTTAATCTCGGTAGGTCGGTTAGCTAGTGAAGGCTATACGACAATCTTCCACGGTGATGAATGGAAGATCTCAAAAGGTGCGATGACGATTGCTCGAGGCAAAAAGAGTGGAACTCTCTACAAGACTGCGAGGAGCATGTCATTTGATTGCGGTTGCAACAAATGAAAATTCCAACATATGGCACCAAAGACTTGGACATATGAGTGAGAAAGGAATGAAGGTCATGCACTCGAGAGGAAAATTACCAGGTCTTCGGTCGGTAGATATTGACATGTGTGAAGATCGCATACTTGGAAAGCGAAGAGAGTCGGCTTTCGGACAAGTAAAAGAACCCCAAAGAAAGAGAAGCTTGAGCTCATCCACTCGATGTTTGGGATCCAACGACTGTCCCATCCGTTGGTGGGAAGCATTACTTCGTGACTTTCATTGATGATCACTCCGAAAAGGTATGGGTTTACTTTCCGAAATATAAGTCGAAGTATTTGAAGCTTTCAAGATTTGGAAAGCTATGGTGGAAAATGAGACGAGGATTGAAGATTAAGAAGCTCGGATCCGACAATGGTGGTGAATATGTAGACACCAAATTCAAGAAGTTTTGCTATGAGCACGGAATCGGAATGGAGAGAACCGTGTCGGTACGCCTCAACACAATGGTGTAGGCTGAGCGTATGAATCGAACGTTGATCGAAAGGGCCGAAGCATGCGTGTGCGATCGAGCTTACCAAAGCGGTTTTGGGCGAAGCGATCAACACAAGCGGCTTACTTGATCAACCGAAGTCCATCGGTACCATTGGAACACAAGATACCGGAAGAGGTATGGAGCGGAAAAGAGGTAAAACTCTCACATCTTAGAGTTTTTGGCTGTGTAGCATATGCGCATATCGGTGATCAAGGCGAAACAAACTTGATCCAAAATCAAAGAAATGTACTTTCCTTGGTTATGGTGAAGATGAGTTTGGCTACCGCATATGGGACGATGAAAACAAAAAGATGATCCGCAGCAGAGACGTAATCTTCAATGAAAGAGTGATGTACAAGGACAAGCATAATACAGGTACCAACAACTCGGAGCGAGTGGGCCGGTTTATGCAGAGGTGGAAGATATCCCGAGAAAGTCCTATAATGAGGAGTCCTCGACCGGAGGAATCGGTTGAAGAACTTGATGTGCAAGCGGAACCTCCTACTCCAACTCCTGTATTGAGAAGGTCTTCTCGGCCTCATGTGCCTAACGGGAGATACATGGACTATATGTTGTTGATCGATGGAGGGAGCACGAAGATTATACGGAAGCTTGTCAAGCCACGGATGCTAGCAAGTGGGAGCTTGCCATGAAAGACGAGATGAAGTCTTTGATCTCAAATCGAGACATGGGAACTAGTCAAGTTACCTATGGGAAAGAAAGCACTTCACAACAAATGGGTGTATCGAGTGAAGGAAGACCATGATGGTTTTAAGAGATACAAAGCTCGATCGGTCGTCAAAGGATTTCGACGAGAAAGAAGGAGTCGACTATACTCGAAATCTTTGCTCCAGTTGTAAAGCTCAATACTATCGGGATCTGTGTTAAGTATTGTGGCTAGTGAGGAGCTCTACCTAGAGCAATTAGATGTGAAGACCGCATTTCTTCATGGAGATTTAGATGAGGAGATCTACATGCATCGGCTGAAGGTTTTTCGAAGGAAAGAAGAACTTGGTGTGCAGATTGAAAAAGAGCTTGTATGGCACGAAACAAGCTCCAAGACGAGTGGTATAAGAAGTTCGAAAGCTTCATGCACAAGGAGAGTTTTCGAAGTGCAACGCGATCAACGTTGTTTCTTCAAGAGGTATAAGTCCAGGTTATATCATTTTGCTACTTTATGTTGATGATATGCTAGTAGCGAGGTTCGAGATATGAATGAGATCATAAACTTAAAGAAGCGGTTGTCAAAAGAATTTAACATGAAGGACTTAGGCCCAGACAAAGAAGATTCTTGGAATGCAAATCACGAGAGATAAGCAAAAAGGAGTTTTGCGGTTATCTCAAGCGGAGTACATCAACCGTGTTTTGCGAGAGATTCAACATGGACAATGCCAAACCGAGTCAATACACCTTTGGCTTGCCATTTTCGTCTATCCAAGGATCGGTCTCCTCAAACGAAGGAAGAAGAAGAGTTAATGGCTAAGATTCCGTATGCTTCGACCATTGGAAGTTTGATGTACGCGATGGTGCGTACGAGGCCGGACATTGGCCATGCGATGGGAGTTGTAAGCAGATTCATGTCAAATCCAGGAAAAGCTCATTGGGAAGCGAGTCAAATGGATTCTAAGGTATCTACGAGGCACAACGAGAAAAATGTCCGTATTTTAGAAAGGGAGATCTAAAATTGCGAGGCTACGTAGATGCGGACTTTGGAGGTGAAGTTGATCACCGAAGAAGCACCACCGGGTATGTGTTTACTTGTTGGAACTACAATTGTTAGTTGGATGTCGCGGATACGGAAGATTGTTGCTTTATCCACTACGTAGGCTGAGTATGTAGCGATGTGAAGCCGGTAAAGAATTGATATGGCTTCAAGGATTGTTGGCGAGTTGGGATTCATTCAAGAAAGGAGTGTTTTGCACGAGTGATAGTCGAGTGCAATACATCCGGCAAAAAATTCAGCATTTCACTCCGGAACCAAACACATCGACATACGTTATCATTTCATCGGATCTCTACTTGAGGATGAGATGCTAACATTGAAGAAAATTGTGGGAAGTAAGAACCCAACAGATATGCTAACAAAGGTGGTGACTATTGACAAGCCGAAGTTATGCTCAACTTCGGTTAGCTTACAAGGATAACGGACAAGAGAAGACTACTATTGATCAAGGTGTGAGGACAAATTGAAATCGGTCCTCAAGTGGGAGATTGTTGGTCAAAGAAAGTGGGCAAGGGTGGGTCGCAATTGGTCAAAGAAAGTGGGCAAGGGTGGTCGCCAAATTTTTTATGTAACCATGAGGTGCTCATGGGACATATTTTAATGTAATGCATAGTGCCAATTTTTTGCTATAAATTGGTCTTCTTCCTACAAGCAAGAGTATCCCCATCCCACACAAAATACTACTTCTCTTAGAGAAGAAAGAGTGGCACCAGTGAGAGGCAGAAAAACTAGAGAGTTTTAGTTTAGCTTCTGGGTGTAATTGGGTTGTGAGTTGTGAGTGTTTTGGGAGTGTTTTGTAAACACTTGTGTATTTTTCTTTTCTCCTAGTAAGAGATCTGTAGTAGTCCGGAGACGTAGGCATTATTGGCCGAACTCCGTTATCAACTTGTGTGTGCAATTATTCCGCTTTTATTTCACTTTCACAGATCTGACCATATAGGAAGATTCCGCATATTTTTCCCAACAACATCTAGCTCGGGTGGACCCAACACTCCATGCTCCTCCCTTTTTGTCATAATTGTGTTCATTTTGCTGATCATGCTTTTCTGACCCTACCATTGTTTTAATGAAAATATGCACTACCAACCACCTGTTTAATCTATTCTTCATTTACGTAATGTTTGAATTAAAGCGTCATTGTGTCAATGCCAATCTTCATTCCTATTCTATGTAAGTTGTGTAGTGTGAATCTCAAATTCTCGATGGATTTGTTTCCATTATATCAGAAGGTTAATTAACGTTCCCTCCATAACAACTATATAACAAATAACGTTGATGCTATCACCAATCCTATTCCTGCTACAATTTTGATACACCAATGTGGGTCCATTTGATCATAAATCATTAATTTAATCTTTAAAACCTTTTTTTCATAATTCTTAAATTAACAATGATTTTATAAAAAAATGAATAGAGAATGACCATAAAAAAATAATAGAGGAAAGGCACAATGAATGACACCGTAAGATTTAAACGAAGAAAAGGCACGTTGAACTTATATATACATAATTATTGCACCTAGAATTGAAAGAACAAACACAGAAGAAAATATTGAATATTTTTGTGTGGAATAAAAAGGTGTAACCTTATCAGAAACAATTTCTGATAGTTGTAAAATGAACAGTCCAAAAATGTAAAAGAAAAATAATTCAGAAATTAATGTCATATATAATTATCTACAATCATATCTGATAATAGGGATAAGAAATGCTAATAGAAAAATATTAAAAAAAATTGATGGATCAAATTTTTTTTCAACCTTCGAGGATACCATGGTTTGTAAAGTAAAAACCTTAAATATATGAATAAACTAATTTTATAATTCTAAAGTTATAACAAGAACCTTTAAGATAAGCATATAGATGTTACGAATTAAAAAGCAGAAAGCTTGGAAGAGTTTACACATATATAATGTTCTGCACCCTGCCCTATTTATTTACTTTACAAACCACGGTATGCTCGAAAGAATTTTTTTATCATTTTTCGTGTTACAACTTAGAATGATTTGGTCACATTTATTTATTTTTTTTAAAAGAAAAATGTTTTTCTTTTGTATAGGACTAAATTCAAAATAAAATTCCAATATATTGGGAATATTATCCATTTTGAGCATGTATAACTAGATAGTATATATCATATATGTTAATAATATAAATAAATTCATATTATTAGTATTGTTGTATAAACAAGCATAAATGTTGTCTCTGTTTTCCATGAAAACAATCTGAGAAAGAGAGATGGAATTTCACGTTTAAACAAAAAGTAAATTAAAAAATATTTACAAAATATATCCTAATTTTGCTTCCAGTACCATTGATAATATGTCAACTTTAACAAAAAAAATAAATAAATCAAAGTATTCCTGGCGTAATCGTTGAGGTAACGAGAGAAACTAATACATATTATTTTTTTCATCGCCTTAACAAAATATGAGAAAACGATGAAAATAACACATATCTAAAAGAACAATGAATCTTTTAAAAAAGAAAAGTTAAGATCATAAAAAAGTGGCTGAAGAGAAGAAACATAAATAATGTTTGTGTTGGGGGTAGGGTACGAGAAAGAAAGATTAAGTTAATAAATGAATTACAGCACAAACAAATTAGTGAAAATAACATTTTTTTCCTTTTCTTAATTAAGCTCAAGAGAAATAAACGGAGCACCTCTTGTCCTTGTAATTCGTCAAGAGGGAACCATCGGGTCCCACGCCCACATCGCAGTTGGCGTGCATCGTGTGGCGCTTGCTGTCCCACGTGGAAATCTTGAATCTAATCACAGAAGTCAATTCCAAGCGGAACACCACGCTACCGTCAGCCCTATCGCTCTGGAACTCCGACCACCGTTGACTACTAACGGTCAACGTCGCCCCACTAAGTTCACCGTCCACCTCCGTCGTGTTCTTCGGCTCTTGATAAAACGGATAGAGTAACGGCGTGTACCCGATTTTCTGGTCACGGTAAAAAACCGCTCCGCCCATGGACTCGTAGTAAATCCCGATGTTCTGGTTGGAGTTTCGCGCGGATACTTTAAACGTTATGACGGCGTTTTCGAAGCCGGAGTTTTGGGTCAGGCCCGGTATGTTGAACTCGTGGATGTGGAATCTGGGCCTGTGGGGCCGGAGACTGAGCCAGAGGATGAAGGTGATGAGGCCCACTATGAAAAGGAGGCCCAAGAAGGTGGCGCAGATCATCTTGGAGACCCGCGTTGTGAGGCTTTCGTGGACCCGATGGACGTAGTAGCGGACAGTGTGGTGCCGATTCAGTTTCAAGGGTTTAGGGTTGGAAGCACGGGCGTGGTGAACGGGTATGTGGTCGTTGTGGTGCATTTTGGCTTGTGTGATGCTGGAGATGACTGATGAATGAATGAATGACGATGCGTTTGAGAAACGAACTACGTTGGAGTGTGTGGTTTTGTAGTGATGGTGCAAAGAGGGGAGAAGAAGGAAAGAAACGGATTCTAAGTTTGGTACATGGCGGAAGAAAAGAATAAGAACTTTATCTCTTGCGTTGCATGTCCTGGTAAGTAAGAAAAAGAGAACTATTTTTTTGTGAGCCTTTGTTGTAGCTTTTGCCTGTTGCATCACGTTTGGGGGATTGCAGCAACTTTCACCGGTTGCTTAAGCTTTACCTTCAAAAGACTGAGAACTACCACTTCATTAAGACCATGAACTATGTATGAACTGTGTAATTAGTACTTGTCTAACCAATTTGAACTTGGATTCCCTTAATCATGGTCCAAAGGCTTTATCCTCTTTAAATCTTTGAAGTTTTAATCTTGTAATCCAAGGACTAGGATTCTGCAGTGACAGAGACAGTGGTTAAGGAATTAATTATAAGAGTTCTCACGTGCATGAACGTTATATATATAGAAAAGGATAAAATTGAAGAATGATGGATAAGTTTTGAGTTTGGACAAGGTATAAAGGTTTCGTAGAATGTTACCTAAGGTATATATACGAATTCTAGGGAAGAAGGAGATCAAGGGATGGGGGCCGTATATACACTGTAGTACATTATATGTTATTAAACTTGTGTTAAAATCATAATATATCATTGCCAATTTTTATATTTATTTATATCATTGCCAAACTCCCAAGTCACGAATTAAGCATGAGGTTAAAATATATACCAAATGTATTGTGATTTAGCTACAAAATACCTGATGTGTAAGGTTCAACTACTTGTATTTATAAGTAATTTTATTCAATTTTAATTAATTTATATATTCCATTTTTATGTTTAAATAATATCTTTATTTTCTTGGAAAAAAAATTAAAAATCTTTTAAATAGGTTCTATTGGAGATGCAATATTGGAAATGATCTAAAGAATTGACAAATAATTAGTGTTTTATGATATAATTCAGGTTCATGTATCACATATTGAAGTTTAAGCTAAAAGTATTAATCTTCTAATTTTGGCTTACTAAAGCATTTTATTGATAGACAAATTACTAGAACAAAGGAGTCTATGTTGCGTGCCTATGCTCCTATTTTTCTCCCTTGTATTGCCTTCTTTTATTATATATACTCACAATTGTTATTTCTTTCGCACCACATCACCCTAATGCATCAGCTATCATCACCACTTGTCGCATTGTTATTGTCACTGAGTTCTTGTCCAGAACAAACATAAACGCATGCAACACCCTCAAATTATGGTCATTGTTTGTACATTATGAATACGTTGTTTAGTTAATTTCTAATTATGATGAAGTGTCAAAGGTTATGAACTTTATTAAAGTCTGGTGAAGCATTTGAGCTAATAAGTTAAATGAGGCATTTAATATGATAAATTCTTCATGTTATTTAGTTTTTTATTTATATTAATTTTAAATAAAATATATACATTTTTTAAGGCCCGTATATTTGAAAGGTTCCATTGTTCCAAATCGTGTGGACGCCATTATAATGATTTCATGATCTGTGTTACTTCACAACGAAACACACCTTTATATTCTAATTCTAATTTGTAAACGTGCATGTGATGTTACTGGGCCAAGGAGTGGGGGGCAGACAAATGGAGTTGGACTTAGCCCAATCTGTACGTATACAACAGGCCCATATCGTCAACTGGGCCATACATTGCTTTCTTTAACGAAACTAGAAACTAGCCGAAGGAGGATGGTGCAAAAGGAATAAAGTAAGATGAGTTGATAGAAAAGTTAGCGTTTAGGAGTTTGAGTAAAGGGAAAAGGTGCGAGAGATTTGGTGATACTATCATATAAGCTAAAGAAAAAAGGGAAAAGCAAAAAGGAAGAAACTTGTGGAAGAAGGCATAAAAGAGGTGAATCCAAGAAATCCATGCAATCAAATGCATATGCAAATTATGTTAGGTAATGAGATTGATGATGAAGACATTGAAAGAAGGAATCATATCTTGCGTAAAGAGTTGGGTGGCTCAAAGTGCAAGTAGGTCAAATACGGGAAATTGGTAGATCGCTAAGATCATCCCATGATGAAGTTTAAAGAAATTTTACAAAAAAGTCAATTTAAAAACGATTTTTTGTAACCTAAAACAACTTTGAAGTGGTCGTCATATAGATTCATAGTAATAAAGAAAAAAGTACATATTGATTATTGACCTCTTTAAGCATCTTGATGGTCATATAGGTTTGGATTGGAAGTGTTTGTGCACTAATCAAAATAGCAAGTTTGCGAGCCAAATCAAATGATAACTTGTTGGAATTGAAGCTTCATTGTGTATAGCTCCAAATTCAACAGCTCTGCACAATTGACACTAAAGCTGGACCACCAATACAGGTGTATAATAGACGACACAAATTCAAGTTATAAATATATCAAGAACAGAAGCATTCATGCATTATGCACCATTCATAAATTATGATAATTGGATGTGCGCACTATCATCTTTATATATGAAATATACCTACAATTTGTAGCTTTGGCATGAACCATTTTGTTCCATCCATGTCATCTATTTAGGTATAATATTATATAATATGCAAAGAATCATGACCTACTAATTAACAACATTTTGCAGGGTTCATCTAAATCGTAATATAATTATGTCCAAAACATTTTCAGGAAAATGTACAAACACAATTGACGTTTATGTTCTTTTTAACTAAAACTAATGTTTGATTTTCCACTATAAAATGAAGTCGCTGATGAGTTCATCACCGTGAAGATTAGAGGGAGGAGGTATCTGTGGAAATTATACTAGTATGGAACGTAGGATGAGCATGCATAAGAACAAAAACATTTTAGTGTATGTTTTCTACTCTTTTGTAGGCAAGTGCAACATACTAAAGCTACATACAAAACATTCCTTTTCAATTCAGTATTCAGTGTTTGTCATCACGCATATGCAAAATGACCACATGCCCTAATTTCTCTTTCAAAATGTAATGGAAGTTTGTCATATTTGGAGACTTCTTGTCCTATATCTTGAACGCATTCAATCGCTGTTTGATTTTGAGACTCTCCAAGATTGATTTGGGATAGACAATGAGTGGTTCGCTCAAACTTCTATATACCATGATGTAAAATTTTTGTTTTATTGTTATTATTATGAATAACTTTAATATTTTTTATAATAACTAATTTAAAAATCATATAAAAGTGTTTTTAATTGGTTATGAAAGTAGGATGCGAGTCAATTAATAATAATTTCTCTTCTCAGTGCGTGGATTATATTGCAGCTAATGCGAGACACTGATTAGTTTCATGAGTTGCATGGAATACACATAAAGTCCATATTTTCTGTTGTAGGCAAATTAATGGTTGTTGTCATTTATCAAAATCTGATTCACACATTGGTTTAAAACAAGTATCTCTCTAACCCTTTCACATTCCACCAACCGGAATCTTAAGACAACTATTATTAATATATTTTGTCTATTTTGCATCCTTTGTATGGTCTGTAACATCAAAATTTAAGACCTAGGTTAATCCTTGGGGGACATGGCACCTCTCTTCACATTTTTTAATTATTTTTTTTAGGTAAATTTTAATGTATCTTTTAATTGTAATAATGGCTACCAATACTGTTTTTTAGTTAGCCAATACATTTTTTTAGCAGATGCTTAACCAATACATAACAAACAAATCAACAGTATGAAATCGATAACATGGCTTATTGTTTAAATTTTTATTATCTTTTAATTATTAAATGACTTTATTCATTTATATTTTTTAAATAGTTAATATAAACTCTTATGAACCTTTTTTACAATTTTAAAATACAAAATATCACTAGTTGATTATATACTATAATTTTAATGTATAAAAGGTTGTTCCTTTATCAGTTCAAAATGTGTAGGCAGTATCCTTTTAACATTGAAGCTACCGAACCAATCACCATTTTTTTCTTTAATATATATATATATATATATATATATATATATATATATATATATATATATATATATATATAAATTTAAATAAAAATAGTTTTATTTAATGAAATCTGATTTTGGAAATAATATATTTTTGGTATTTTTTTTGTTAGCATAATAGTATTTTCCTTCTTATTTTTTTATAATTTTAATATAGACATAATTGCATCGGCATTTTTAGATATCATTTTCAAATAATGTTTTTTTTATCATAATTCATTACAATTATTTTGAAAAATACAAATAATTGTATTTACGATGAAAAATTATCAGTTTTCATTTATAGGGATTGAATTATAATTGATTTGAGATTTAAAAGTTGTTTATGAACTCTTACCATAGAACAAACTTATTATGTATGAATAATAATGTTCAAGTTTAACAATTTTTATTTTGTTCCTTAAAATTTGAAAATTGTACATACAATCCCTCGAATTGACTATTTTAAAAAAAAATCTTTAAATTTACTCTAAATTAAAAAAAAAAGAACATAATTAAGTGTTATTAACATCAAAATATTTTGTATGAAATTTTGTTCATAACCAGATATATATGGAGGTGGCAAATCAAATGAGGAATTAAACGAGATAACATGGGTTTTTAATGTGCTTGGGACAAACAAACAATATATCAAACTCAACACGTAAGTATGCAACTTGGAGATGAATTAGTAACTTGGAAACAATGACGTCATCGTCCATTCTTACAAGATGATGATCTAATTATATACTAAACATTTGTTTGTGGGTGATGAATATGTCATTAAAAGAAGGAATGGTATCATTACCCTCACCTACCTTGTTGTGTTTCTGGTTATGTTATTTATTTTTTATACAACACAAACCACACCAAGTTTTATCCATGGCTTTCTCTGGACAGGACAAAGGTATAGGAAAACTAATAGAATACAAATAGGACGTGCAAGGCAAGGGGATAAAGAATGTGACCACAGAAACATTTCAAGGTGGAATTTGAACCGACCATATCTCATACCAAGATAATATATATGTATAACAAAAAAAAGTATTTGTCGTATATGTGGAGCTCACATGAAAAGGAGAAAATAACAAACCAACCATGAAATACAAAACATTCTCCAAGGTAAGTGGATGGTTAATGTGGAAACCATTTTTCATGCCTCAGAATATATCTCGTGTTACATGAAGTAAAACTGAGATTTAGAAATTATAATAAAAGTGTGTCGATATTGCTACTAACATTT